ACACAGTAGATGCTCAATACATATGTGCTGAATGAAGGGGAAGAACGACTCCCTGGGCTCCTCTTACCTAAGACAGTCATCACTGTCTTCATTAGCTTCATGGGGGTCCTCCGGCGGCTGATGGAGCCGCTGGTGTGTGGGGACAAGACGTTGGTTTTCCTCTTGACGTACATGTAGATCCGCAGGTACACCACGACCATGATGAAGAAAGCCAGGAGGTTGGACACAGTCCAGAAGATGAGGTAACTCCTGCTGTAAATGGGGGCCAGGGAAGAGCAGGTAGAGATGTCACAGAGGCAATTCCAGCCCAGTGTGGGGACCGCCCCCATAAAGATGGCAATGGCCCAGACAAGCAAAATGAGCAACGTCACCCGCTTTTTGGTCAGGTTGCTGTGGACCCGCATCCTCATGATTGACATGTGCCTCTCCAAGGCAATCACCAGCAAATTGGTCAGGGAGGCAGTCAAGCTCGTGTCCAGAAGCCCCTGGCGGAGAAGCCAGCGGTTGACGGTCAAAGTTCTTGAAACGGGGCCAGTGTTGAACATCAGGAATACATAGGCAATTCCAGCAAAGAAATCTGCAGCAGCTAGGTTAGCCAACAGGTAGTAGAAGGGGAAATGAAACTTTCTGTTTTTAATCACCGCTGCGATGACCAGAGAATTAGAAAAGAAAATAAACAGGCAGAAAAATGTTCCAACGCATAGAACTATCACCAGCTTCGTTCCTGTCCAGTCATCAGCGGTGTCACTGTCAGTGTGGCTTCTGTTATAAAAAAAGTCCATCTGCTTATCATAGTGACACTCATTCATTGTGGAGAAGAACTGAACATCCTAGAAAGAAATTTAAAGAAGAAACAAATATCACTCTTTGCAAAATCAATCAATAAACCACTCCTTGCCCCTTGTCTGGCCAGCTCCTCTCAATCCTTCCAATCTCAGTAAATGTCCCTTGCTCCAGACCCTAACCCTGACCTCCTATCACAGCGTTAATTTCATATGGGTAATTGTTGTCTGTTTCCCAGGTGAGGTGCAAGCTCAGTGAAGGAGTGGAAATGTCACCATTATAACCCCAGAACTTATATTCCCTGGCTGCCTCAAGACAGGTCTTTGCTGAATGCTGGCTGAATAAATCAATGAATAAATGATCATGGAGGCAGCAGTAAGTCAAATATTCTGAGCCCTGCAATATCCACTCTGTCCTGGCAATGATTGCAGTACAGCATATTAATGCTTTCTCCTGGCAGTTTCCAGCTCATTTCTTATTTATGGGTTCTGTTCATTAATCAAAGGCAGGTTGGCAATGGCAGGCACATTCTTGCCAAGATAACGGGTGTTGAGTTACTTTTCACATGACCAAGTGGCTTCCCCAAGAGTTCAATTTTCCACCACTCAGATTCCACTCCTGATCTTGCTTTTGCCATCTCTTGGTTTCAAGTACAATGACAACACTCACTTGACAAGCATGTGGTACAGGCTGGAGACTGGTCTCAATACTCCTTCCTTACCTTGCTGTTTACTTCTTTCTTATTTTCCTAGTCCAAATTGTACCAATGCGAATTTGTTTACTGGATATTCCAACTCAATCACTTTGAGTCAGTTTCCTTCCCTGGGCTCTCTTCAACACAGTGGGTGGTGGGAGGGCAGGCCTTCATGGGCAAGACTGAGATCTGGGGTTTGGACAGATTTCCAAGGATGTGAGAACATAACTGCCAAGCAAGGGCAAATCCTCAGGACATGTGTCTGAAAGTGGACCCCAAATTGGGGTATCAGGCAGACAGGCAAGATACTAATCTCAGCTCCAAGATCTCTTAGACTCAAAAAGTGAGGGCTTTTGGCCAAGAAGGGTCTGGGCGCAGGCTCTAAGATTGATTGCCCATCCTCCTATCCATGGTGGGAAGACCAGATGTTCTGCCTCACAAGAGTCTGGGTATCGCCATGTAAGTTTCTATCAAAGAAGGCCAGGGTTGAAGGTCAGGAAATCTAGCGTCTGGAGAGAATAATCATGGGCTCCCTCACAAGGAATGGGGCTGCAATGTATTTGCGGGAGATCCAGTAGGCTCAGGCCCTGAGCAGTTCACTGCTGGGAATGAAGTGGTTCCAACAGCAAAAGCTTCATGGAAATCCCCAGCTTTTCAGGATCTTATAAATTCTGTAATCCAATACCACATACAGAATCAGGACAGGCATATCAGATATCAGTTTACAGTACTACAAAAGAGAAATGTATCTTAGGCAGTCTTCTTTTTATTTACATTTTAATGACATATGATACCTTTAAATGAATTGGACACATGTCTCTCTGCCATAGCAAATGGAAGGTAAGAATATGACTTTATATGCTTAAAATAAATAAACTGAGAGTGGTCTCAAGAGACAAATAGTTCTAGTGCCTTTCCATTACAAGGAAGGGGACTCAATTTTAACAATGACAAAACAAAAATTACTCTCTTTCGCAGGACTCACTGGTATTTAATTGGCAATATCAGATAACTCCATACAACAGGCCAATATATCTACATTTTATTGTGATAATTTTCTAAAATTAAAAGTATAGATATATTTGATCATTTTAATAGCTTCCTAATATTCAGTTTACGAATACACCACACTTTATTTAACTGATCCCTAAATCTGGACACTTAGGTTGTTTCTAATATGTTGCTTTCATAAGCAAGGTTACATTCTTGTGCATTAATCTTTACATACTTGGCCAATTATTTCCTTAAGATTAATCCATAGATTTCAAGTTGAAGTAATTTATATAAACTTATTTAAAGGTTTCTGATACATATTGTCGAACTGTCCTTGAGACAGATTGTGATTCTAATTCTATTAGCAGCATATAAGAGTTGAGTAGACGATACTAATCTATAAAATTAAATATCCAAGGAGAAAATTCAGCTTTCAACAATGTTGAAAGTATATAGAAATTCAAGACAAACAATAAAAAACACACATGAGAAATTTTAATGATGCAATTAATATGTGTCCTTTTGCCAAAACCGGTTTGGCTCAGTGGATAGAGCGTCGGCTTGCAGACTGAAAGGTCCCAGGTTCGATTCCGGTCAAGGGCATGTACCTGGGTTGTGGGCACATCCCCAGTAGGGGATGTGCAGGAGGCAGCTGATCGATGTTTCTCTCTCATCGATGTTTCTAACTCTCTATCTCTCTCCTTTCCTCTCTGTAAAAAATCAATAAAATATATTTTAAAAAAATGTGTCCTTTCACTAATGAAAAATAATGTATTTTATTTTGCTATATGCTCTATATACCTAAGAGAAACACATTTCTAATTTTAAATTATATCTTTGATTAATTCATCAGCAATGTCAAGATTAATATGTCAAGAAGATGTTGGAAATATAATACTACCAAAAAAAAACCCAAAAACCAAGAACACACAACACTTTAAGGTTTCCCAATTTCCTTCCGAAGGAGTCTTAATATTTTAATTTGGGTTCATAAACTTGGTTGCATTTGTAATTATATGATGTCTTAAAACCTCAATGACTTTTACTTCAAAAATCTTCAAATTCAACTTTCCTCCATAAAAACTGAAATGGCACATTCTTAGACATATTTTAACAAAAATTGTCCTGAGACTGAGAAGTAGTTTTGTCTGACAAAGTAGAGAAACCGTGATTAGCCAGAACTTCCTCCAAGCAGCTCCCTATCTCTCAGCCTTGAATTCTACTTTTGGGTGAAACATATATAGGGAATTGGTTAAAAATATTCCAGAGGATAGAATATTGTGCAGCCATTAACAAATCATATTTACCATGAAGTAGTGGTAATATGAGAAAAAAATATGCCATTATTTTAATTATAAATAATTATAGATTAGGTATATGTATACATATATTTATATACATATATACATACATAAATATGTGTGGAGTCTTGACTATTTTTTTAAAGATACAGAAAAAAATATAAGAAAAAGTCTTGAAGTGTAATATTAAGAATGGTGGAATTGAGGGTCATTAAAAATTCTTTACAAATTTTTCTGTTCCACATTTTCTATAAAAAATAGACCTTTAAATGCTACTTTAAAAGTTCTGTCTGAGAAGCACACATTCTACTTAATGCATCCTACCCTTCTTGACAACTACAGTCTGAAACATCAAAATGAATGTTCAAAAGAAAAGCCTCAAGGATTCACCTATGTTCATTATTACTACATTTATCAGCAAAGCACACTTTAGAGTTTTTCAGTGATAATGAAAATAAAATGGTTTTCTACTTAAAGCTTCATGTAGTCATAAAACCTTATATGCTGATAACTAACCAAATCAGGACATCATTTCCCCCAACTCTCCTATAAAACATTTCCTAATGCAATCATCCCAGGGCTCCAAAAATGAATAACTGGAAGTTTTGTAAATTAGTAAATACTTTTGGATTTTTTCTCCTCTGCCATATGCTGCCAAGCTTGTTGACCATCCCCAGTACATATCAACTATAGATCATCATATTGTCTTAGCTGGAAATTACCAAAAACTTTGGTGAACTTACAACAAACGATCGGATTTATCATCTCTTGAACCCTCTCAGACCTTGAGATATGATTCTGTGATCCTCGCCTAAATACCCCCTTCACAGAAATACCTTCTCTGACCAATCCAAAGTAACTCCACACTGAAGCTATGGAACCCCTAGAAGAAAACATAGGCAGCAAACTCTTTGGCATTTCCCTTAGTAATATCTGTTTGGATGTGTCTCCTCAGGCAAGGTCAATAAAAGAAAAATTAAATAAATGGGACTACATCTAACTAAAAAGGTTTTGTACAGCAAAGGAAACCATAAACAAAATGAAAAGACAACCTATAAAATGACAGAAGATATTCACAAATGTTATCTATAATAATAAAAGCATAATATGCTAATTAGACCAGACTTCCTTCGGGATGACCTTCCAGATGAAGCCAGGACTGTGAGGGGGTCCCAGCTGCCAGAGGGAAGCTGGTGCTGGCAGCTGGAAGAAGGAAAGCCTACTCTTGTATGAATTTCGTGCATCAGGCCTCTAGTATATCTAATAAGGGGTTATAACCAAAATATATACAGAACTCATACAACTTAACACCAAAAGACCCAAACAATTCAAATAAAAATTTGGGCAGAGGACCTGAATAGACATTTCAGATGGCCAACAGACATATGAAAAGATGTTCAACATCACTAATCATCAGGTAAATTAAAACCACAATAATATGTCACTTCACATCTGTCAGAATGGCTATCATGGATAAATCAACAAATAAAAAGTGCTGGTGAGAATGGAGAAAAGAGAACCCTTACATTGTTGGTGAGGTTATAAATTGGTATGGCCACTATGGAAAACAGTATGGAGGTTCCTCAAAAAATTAAAAATAGAGCTGCCATACAATCTAGCAATTCCACTTCTGGGTACTTAACCAAAGAAAACAAAAACACTAATTCGAAATGATATATGCATCTCTATGTTTATTACAACATAGCTTGTAATAGCCAAGATATGAATACAATCTAGATATCCATCAGTAGATGAATGAATACAGAAGTGGTATTTACAAGATGAGACAAAAGTAGATTTACAGTTGTGAGTATGAGAAACACAGAGTTTATTCTTGTATTATCAATTATTAATTATTATATTAATTTCCATAAAGCAACTGTAAACCTATTTTTGCCCCATGCTGTATATACAGTAGCATATTATTCAGCAATAAAAAAGAATGAAATCTTACCATTTGCAATGACATGGATGGACAGTGTATAGTGCTAAGTAAAATAAGTCAAACAGAAAAAGACAAATACCATATGATGTTACTTACATGTGGAATCTAAAAAAAAACCACCCACACACAAATGAA